AGTTAGCAAAGTTTGGGTTTGCTTCACCAGAAGGCAGAACTGAGTTACCAGGTTGTACTTTGGATGCAAAACCAGGTCTTGCTGAGGAGCAAAGGGGTGGGGCTCCTCCCATCTTGTCATTCTGGGTGGCGAGTTCTCCCGGGAGGGGGCAGCTTCACCTGGAGGGGACAGTTTCCTGGGCCAGGCAGGTGGGCAGCATACTGCCTTAAGTGTCAGGGTCCACCCTGTGGGCTGTGGTGGAGACACCTGGGGCAGGAATGAGCTTCCCTTGGGCCTTCTCATCTGCCCAACTCAGGCCCTTGTGTGCAGGCCAGTTCTCGGAAGGTAATTCAGGTTCTTCAGGGTCGTGTGCAAAGTTGGGGACAGAGTGGTGACAGGGAGTGGAGGGCATCAGGATGGCGGGCTTCCGGAGGCAGAAGCCTATGGCCTTGGTGCCTTTGGCCAGTCCTGAGGACTGGGGAGGCATGCATGGCATGGGCATGTTCAGAAGAGTACACCGATTCTTCTCACATCTCCATTGAGCAGGTTCCTACCTCAAATACATGGGGGTATGGGGGCAGAAACCCCTGCCTCCAGGGAGTTGGCAGTATAGCAGGGAGAAAGTCCAGACGGAAAGGTAATTTCCATACCAGGCATGACAGTAAGGAGGGAGGAGAAGGGGAAGGCAGCAGAAATAGCATGTGCAAAGGTCCAGTGGCTGGTGGGAAGAAGGGCCATGTGGCTGGAACATGGTAGGCAGGGAGGGACTCCTGGTTGGAGGATGGAAGGGAGATTAGAGGAAGGTTAGGTGTCCCAGACCTGGGGCTCTCTGTGATAAGAAGCTTGGATTTCCTCTCTGATTCCTGAGAAGCCACAAAGGGATTGGAGCAGGGGATGACAGCATCTGATTTACATTCTAGGGCCCCTGGTGACCCTGGTCTGGGTGAGACTGAGGTGGAGGGGGTAGGCATCAAGGGCACCATGGGTCTTAGTACAGGACAGGAGGAGCCAGAGGAGCTGGTCCAGGCTTGTCGGGGGCTCTGGTCCTGGGCACTGTTAAATGAGTAACTGCTGCCCGAGAAAGTGAGGGGTGTGTGGGTGAGACATGCACCCAGGTCTGGAGTTTTGATCTATTCCTTGTGACTCATTTTGTGCTTGCATTTAGGAAAGTTCTCGGAGACCTTTGCTAAATGTGCACTTACACCCTGTTTTCTCATTTCCCCCCTATGTTCTAATTAATCCAATTTGGGAGGTATTTCCATAGGTGAGTACTAAGTAAGGGTTTAAAAGCATTTGTTTTGCAAATAGATACCCAGTTCCCTGTTACCCTTGATTGAATCCACCCGTGCTTCCTCATCAATTTTTGAATTTTAAAAACAATAGCAGGATAACAGGATTTCAGGGTCGTCCACCGGGTCGCAGTGGGCTCTACTGATAGTTCAGTGCCAGGTACACGGCCGTCGTGTGTTACTGTTGTTTTTTCACCCAAGAGGACAGTTATGTTGCCTATCTTCACTGCCACCTGAGAACATTCCAGCTCCCAGGATCAGGGTCTCCCAGGGCTGGCTTCAGTCCCTTTTCCATCACTCCATCATCTCACCCTCGGGGCCTGGCTAGCTCCCACCCTAGGGGAACCTCCCGCTGGTGCCTCTCTGGAACTAAGCATAGGTTGCTCACGGGGGCGGGGGGCGCTGGGGACCCTGCTTCAGCCACATCTGCCCACCTTTGAGGGACCACGGGGCTCAGGGAAATCCCTGCGGAGGCTTCTTGATGCTGACTTCTGGCCGCTGTGCTCTCTGCAGGATCAGGAGCCTATCCCTGGGGCCTCCCATCCAGGGCTGCACCTCCTCCTGGGTCTCGGGGACCCAAGCATAAGGCCAGGTTTGCCCAGAGAAACTCTGGGATCCCGGCCGCGGCCTCCTGCGACCCAAGGCCGACTGACAACAGTGTCAACCTGCAGTGTCTCCTTGCAGTGGCCCAGGAACATTTAAATGATCCCTGCCTGGGAGCGGGGGGAGGTGTGGGGCAGGTGCGGCCTGGCAGTTAAGGCCCAGTGGGTGTGGAGCAGATGGGACCTGGCGAATGTGTGTGCATGTTAAGTGTGTAGATGGGTGCTTGTGTGGGTGTGCCGGTGTGAGGCAGGTACGTGTGTAGGACAGGTGAGTGTGTGCGCACGCACGGGCCAGGTGGGGCCTGGTGGTTGCAGGGCAGGTGCATGGCAGGTGCATGTGCGGGTGCAGGACAAGTGCGTTTATGTGTATGTGTGTGCGGGACAGGTGGGGCCTGGTGGTTGCACGTAGGTGCGTGTGCGTGGCAGGTGCATATGCGGGTGCAGGGCAGGTGTGTGTGTGTGTGTATCTATGGGGGGGGCAGGTGGGGCCTGGTGGTTGCAGGGCAGGTGCTTGTGAATGTGTGTGTGCGCGCGGGG